TTCAGGTGTTGCGCCAGACGGACATGCGCCTGTCCTTCAAAAAGACGATCGTGTGTACGTGGTAAGTTTTATCAGCGGTAATTCACCAGAATGGCAATTTCGTCGTTTACTTCATCTTCTGAAGGGTTTATCTGCTGAACCGGTTCTTCCAAAAGAGGCACCTGAAAAGGCCTTAGCCTTTGCGTACGTGTGCATGTGTGTGTATGCGTGTGTGCATCTGTGTTTGTTGTTGGTCCCGAACGTTATCACTTTTAGACCAAGATGAAGCATCTTGGTCTAAGAGAGATGACGTTTTGAGCCTCAGAGTGATATTCTCGTAAATTTTTTTAACATTGAGCATCTTTGTCCGTGATCAAATTACGGATAGACAGCGTTGACGTGGAAGAAATTGAAAGCAGCTGCGTTTGTCATGTTTGTGCACTATCCTCTCTGTATAGGATATATCATCGCGCTTACAATCAATGGGCTTTGCCTATCACTGAATGCAAAGAAGGCAACCATTGGGCAAATTCGGAACGTATGCTTATGCAAGGTGATGTGTACTAGCCAGAGAAATAAGTTGGGAATGTCGATGCATCCCGATTATGCGTATTGTCTAAAGCGTTTTAATGACATTAGTAGAGTAGGAATACACGGCTGTGAACGGGACGGCATAGTGTGGGTGTTTCCGGCGTGTGATTGCTTCGCCGTAACAACGAGTTCCCGCTTTCGCAGTGCGAAAATTCTTTGTCGTACGTCTGCACCAATTTCCATAGTTTTTGCTTTTTCCTCTGATTCGCGTATTTTCAGACGACTGCTGGAAATTTTGTATATCATGGCCCATTGCCACATATTGGAAGATATAAGCCTTCACGCGGAGCCACTTACTTCTCACCGCCTGAGTTGAAAATGGTATGATTTTCCTTGTAGTACTGATCTGCCTAATTATAGAGACTTGTACAGGACAGTTTTTTTTTTTAATATTTTTGTAAAAAGTGAATTTAGCTGGGGGAAATGTTAAGTAAGGTGACGTGTGTGCTGGGTTTGCTAGCATTTATTCCCAACATTTGCGAAATTTCGGCAAAAAATAATGAGCATACACTGATTCTGATAACATTTGAGCAGTACACAATGTATGCTGCCTGGATACAGATACGAAAACTCCGATTTCTAGATGTCAGAAGCAGTTGGCATAAGTTTGGTTAACACATCACGATTCAAACGATTCGGGGACAGTAGAGATGAGGGAGTGTAACGTCGAGCTAGCCCAATATATCTGCTGTAGTTGTAGCACTTCACATTAAAAACTCTGTTTTAAAAAAGCAGGTCTTGAAAGAACAGTGACCAGCGAAACGCTGCTGCCACACAACAGCAGATAATAATGTCGAACTGAAATCATTTTTAAATTATAGAGGTGGTTCGAGTCTTAAGGCGGGATATTTGCATATCACATGGGGCGTAAAGCAGCTGGGGCAGGGGGATTGGGATCGCCAACTTCATTAATTGCCCAGATCTACCAACTGTTCCTTTTTTACAAAAAGTTTCCTTTGTGGTCCGTATCTTTTTGCGGGTAGACTCCACTCAGATGGCAGCATATGCAAGATTGACCAAGTTCATCTTATATACTGTCTTCTTTCTGCATTCTACGAATTGCAATGTAAGTTTAAGTGATCTTGTTTAAGGAGTTGCTTCAGCGGCAGCTTGCAATCCAATGTCGTGCGGAGCCGTCACTCTATCCAGATGTTCCACAAAATGTGGAATACTTCCAGAATCTTGTGCCACTGGAAAACATCAAATTTACGGGCGGTCACGTGGATCGTGGTATTTTTGGGACGCACATAACAACTGTGTACAAAGCGATCAATGTGCGTGATGGAATGCCGTACTGCCTGAGGCGAATTCACAGTAAGTGTAGCGCAGCGATGTGTTTGCCTTTAAATCTTTTCTGCGCGAATTCCAGAGTGCGAGGGAAAGTGACCTTTTCAAGAATTTTGCGCTACCCGATCTGGAGGTTTGTGTTTGTTCTAATCGTTGAACCTCTAATATTCTTATGGCTTCCATTAATTTGTGGTCACTGCGCAGTGTTATCCTTTCGTAAGCAGGAGTGCTGTCAGTTTAGCTGGTATTTTAGTGAGCGGGTAAGTCCCCTCTGGAATGAATTTTGGCGGTAGAATAATCCAGTCCTTCTACTGCTAAGTAATTCAGTGCCTAGGAGATATGTTGCTGCATATTTGATAGTCGGGATGGTTCGCTTATAGATCAACTCAGAAGCAAGGATCCACATACAGCCATGTTCGCGGGTGTTAGCACGCTGTGCACTCGATCTGATCTCTTTTAGCAAGTGAAGTATCAGTGGGTTTGAGCTTGGCAGAATCATGATTTGATCATTTCGATGCGTCGCACGCAGTGAAGCAGTAAAAGCCTTCCACATTTCGAATTCCCTTCGATTTTGCAGATTTTCGTGTAAATCCACTGAAGCACCTAACGCTTGCTGATAACTGGAAAAAA